CCTGTACTAAGTGTAGTATCAGTCCAAACCTCTCCCTTCCCCGCTGACCACCCACTACCCACCTGAACTAAGTGAGGTATCAGTCTGTTAACACCTCTCTCTCTCCCACTGACCACCCACTACCCACCTGAACTAAGTGAGGTATCAGTCTGTTAACACCTCTCTCTCTCCCACTGACCACCCACTACCCACCTGGACCAAGTGAGGTATCAGTCTGTGAAGGCCCTGTCCCACTAGCCTCCCCCATGCCGCACCAGTCAGCAGACAGGGGATAAAGACACCACTCGACACGCTGAGACCATACGTCCAACAGGTCAGAAAGTAAAAGTACACAGCCAGTAGTGCTAAAGTCCCTGGCTCAAAATTTTCTGGAAAAATAGTCTGCTCATTAAATTTATGAGTGAGTAGAGCAACTTCATACACTGATCATATATAAAAATAACCAAAGATTTAAAGGTCTAAATGTAAATTTGTAATTATCCTGTTGTCTCAGCTGAACAGATGTATATGTACTATAAAAGTAAGAATAAAAATTTATGAATGAGGAAAAGGGAGAAATAATCATCTATAAACCCATTCTAAATATCTCACTAAATTTTACTGCACTAGTGCTGCAAACAATGAAATTTACCACTCTGCCCCCACACAAGGAGAATGGTACATAGCCTGAAAGCCTAGAACCCATAGGATTATGTGTTGGGACCATAAAATCTTTAAAAAAATATTTTGCTATCTAATAGGCATTATCTAAAGTCTTACCATCATGTAACATGCCTTTCAAACTGCCTTCTGGAGATTTGAAAAAGATCACAGAAAACTCATTCTTCTCTGCATAGTCACAAAATAACTGGAAAAGAAATTGGTTCCTTAGTCAAATAAATTGTGAAATTTCAAAGTAAGTTTATGAGCATCTAAATACAGAAAAAGTGGCATAACTGAATGATTCAGAGTACTCAAGGTCAGAGTGTATTGCTGTTTTCTACCACTGCACAACTTTCTCACTCAGTCTATTCTTATAATTTCAACTCATGTATCCAACAAAATGGAGAATTAAGACAATTAAGAAATATAATTCAATTCTTATTCAGTTCCCTTCATCTTAATTAGAAAGGACAGAAATGTGAAAGGTCCTGCAAAAGGGAAAAGATACAACAGAGGAGCAAATACTAAATTATATTTATGGGACTGTACCATATATTATTTGCTTCTCAACATTCATAATTTATAATCTACACAGTATCTTGGCACAGGCTGGGTCATAATCTTATTTAAGTCTAATCACTGTTAAGTAGAACAAGCAGTACTCTAGAAACTCTCAAAAATTGTTCTAATCACTTTCCTTTGTTATGTAGTTTCGGCAACATGTCAAGTCTGGATCGATTTTGGTTCCCAGAGGATGAACGTTTTAAGAGTCTAAATTGACAAGTGCATTACCTCATTTCTGTTCTGAGAAATCAATTCAGTCTTTAAAAAAACATGGAGATTGTCATATACGTCTTGGCCTAAAGCGCCATCTGTAAGTAGTTAGGAGAAGTAGAATAAAAGTCACATGTGTGAACAGCTTGAATAGCGTGTTTGTCTTTATTTTATGCCATTCTATGACAGAGATTGAAATATAAATGCTGAAATCTTAACCAGGATCCACCCAGCAGTACTTCTATGTACACTTTGAAGATAATATTTCAACCTGCTTACCCACCTTCACACCCATATCATCATGAATATCCTTCTTCTCCAAACTATCTTTACAACCATGCCAAGTATAAACAAGAAAATAGGCCGTCACTGCACTGACTGCCGCTATCACCACTGCCTCCAACACTTTCAGCCATTTTTTTCTGACGAATCTGTATGCAATGAAAAAGAAAAATGGAAATTATATATGAGCTTCTGTGGTAATATAAAAAAATGTCCTTTATGAATAAGATTTTTAAAAAACTTAATATAGATCATTATTCCTAACATATAGTTATAACAGTTATTAATGTGTTACTTTTCCATCAAGAAAGTTCCAGTTTTTATGAAAAAAAAGCAACTTATCCGAGATACCATGCTTACTTTCTCCTAAACATGGACAAATGAAAAAATAAATTTCATTTATGTATATAGCACTCATTTTTTCCACAATATAGACATAAAAATAATTATCTTATTTGCTATACTTACTTTCTCCTAAATATAGACAAGTGGTAGTTCATCCTTACAAACAGTGCCCCTGTAAGGCCCCCTGAAATAGTCCAAACTCTTGTGATAAATCTCTCTTGTCAACACCAAAAATAATTAATTTGAATATTTAATATCTGACATTAAAAAACAGTATTTTGAGTGTAAAGCATCTTTGTAAACCAATATGTTATTCCGTGTCACGTACAGTATAAAGACTAACATGACATGAAGTTGGAAGGAACCAATGATATTAAAAATGATCAGACATATATTAAATCTTAACAAGCCAGACTCACCAAACACTGCCATAAGAATAAATATTGGGAATTCTATTGTATCATATGTTATGTCCTGAAAGAAATAACAATGTAATTTTTAAATTATCAAAACCAATACAATATATAATAATTTAACATATAATATAACATGCAGACTAACTCACAACATCTGACAGCTGGTTGATTATTCTACATAAGCCTAACATTTTATGTAATATTTTGTCTGACTGTGACCAAACTTGGAATTGATGTGAACAAGTCTGTGGTTACTTGCATTAAAAATATTTATTTCAGAACTGATGTAAGCAGGCTTGTGGTTAATTGCATTATTTGAAGTCAGTAACTTACGGTGAACTGTCCAAAACTGACCAGTCCTGGATTGGAGAGATCAGCAGCATTACCGTGAATGGCACTTAGAATAATGTTGACAGAAAAAGTGGCTGTCATGGAGGCAAATAACTGGAAACAGTAAGTGTTGTACAGCTTAATAAAGTCAAGAATTTCAAGGCAAAATAAGTTTGTTGCTTTGCTGATAGAATAAGATGTTACTTAACACCAGCACATACCTAGAACTAAACATTATTTTCATGTTTTATTTTCTAAAAAGGCAAAAATGTTACATTTTTCCTTCAAAAACCTTTTATCAAATTCTAAACATTTTTATATCTTAGTCTCTGACTAATGATCATTCATAATTAAGGATAAAAGAACTTCAATAATTGACTGAATTGCTAATAACTGATTAATTGAGAATATCACTCCAAAGATCATCAAATCAATCAATAATTTTAAAGGATCATTTTACCATTCTCCAGGTTAGCATTTGATTCCAAAAACTTGCACCTTCCTCCAGACTGAATAAGACGCCACCTATAGGGGCACCAAATGCTGCAGCGACGCCTGCAGCTGCTCCTGCTGACACAAAGTCCCGCCTTTCGTGATCAGAACGCAAAAACTTGAAAATCCTTGGATCATACCTGCGGCCGCACCTCCTGGCTCGTCCCTGAGAAATACCAGCCGCCACTATGGCACCGGAGTGGATCATAGGCCCTTCCTAAAATGATGGAGACTTGCATAAAAATTCCTAACCAAAAAAAGATATTTGCCATATTTCATCTTTTCAAAAAAATAATTGTATTTATCAAAACTGCAATTAAAGACAACTCAACTTAACTTTTATAACATAAAAAAGTTTTTCTTGACTGAGAGTGTCATACAGTACACTTACAGCTACATCCTGTTCTCTTGTTGTCTCATGTGATCAGAAACCAAAGACGGTGGATAGAAGCAAAGTGTATGACTTTTGATATTCCATTTCTTATTCAAGAATAACCCTGTTCTACCGACTTTCATAATATCATATCAGATGACACAAACATGATGAAAAATTTAAACCTGAATGTGCTTCTTACTTTAAAAATATTGAAAATAACCTGGCAATTTATTGTCTTACAATTCAATATTCTTTGTATGGATATGACCACATCCACCCAAAACAGTCACTTTGCTTTTCAAATGTACACATACCAAATATGGACATGGCCACACCCACACACAACAGCCACATTTACCTTCCCACAAGCCAACCCTCCACATATGGACATGACCACACCCACAGCCTTAGCCAGCAAGGCTCGGATGGTCATCAGACCTGGCATCTTGATGCCATTCAGATAACATTTCACCTGTGGGATGCCACTCCCTGTAGCCATCGGCTATGAAAAAAAAAAATAAATAAATAAATAAATAAATAAATAAATAAATAAATAAATAAATAAATAAATAAATAAATAAATAAAGTAACAACAGCTTTAACAATTTTGGTGTTAAAAAAATTGATTGTACATTTTCAGTTGTTACTTGTATATAAAATCTGATTCAACGCTTGTGAAAGTTGTAGCAATGTGATGTTACCTATGGGACTACTAAATTGGATAAATTCTTGGCCAAAATGTTTGCTGAGTTTGCAAAAGGTTTAGAATGTACTTAAATGAAGCTGTCCCAACTTGTCTGGAAATGCAACCTCACCTCTAGATATGTGACTAGTGCTGACCCCAAGACAACACAGAAACAATTGATTACCACCCACACCACCAGAGGGATTGCAAGACAGCCTGGAGTCTGAGAATCTGTGCATTCATCTGTTACTGAAATATAAAAATTGGGACAGATAAAATTCAGTTTTAACAAATTTTAAAAGATCTAGGGATAAAGAAAATGAGGCACTTGATCAAAAAATATTAGTTGCTAATTTTAATTAAAAGACACACAAATCACTGACATACAATGTGAAGACATTGACTTACTGCATAGTTCTTAAACTCACACAACTAAATGCATGAAGATATTGACCACTTTAAGTCAACTACTCAACACTGGTAAAAGGTAGATTGTTAATACAAAGAATTGTTCCCTATGCCTGTAAGTCACAGAAGTTACCATTCTGCATGATCAGCAAATAACCATACTGTTACCTTACAGCTTCATAGTTGTGCAGATTATACAAGATCTGATCATGATTATGTGTCATTTACAAAAAATCTAAGTTAAAATAAGTTTCTTTTCTATAATTTTACAGAAAAAATACTCGAGTACTTACATGTTTGCAGAGCAAGAAACTTATAATGAACTATATAATCCACAGACATTTCTACGCCAACGGCCACTAGTGCTGTGCAGAAACCAATAAGAAACATTACAATCCATCTGCTTAGCCACTGCCATTGTATATTCTGCAAATAAAGTAAAATTAATGGAATTGGTCAGAAGCCGCCATCTTGAAATAAATTAATGAAAAATGATACCGATTAAAATAGGTAAACACTTTTCAGATATCATCAACATCATATGATGTCAGACCTGGTGCAGGCATCGCTGATCATGGTTCTTCACTTTACTCTATTTTCAGTCGATTTGATGAGCTCATTTATTGTAAAGATATTAAATGCAGATATATAAGAAGTTTATTAATTAATAATAATAATTAATTAAATTTAAATAAACCTGATGGTATACAAATGGGTATTTCATAAATTCAATATACAGTTTAAAAACATCGATCACCCGAGACAGCCTGAAGTCTCAAAACTTTGCAATCAATCTATTAATTAACTTAATTAACATCAAGTGAGATTTCACAGGGTTTGGAGGACAGTGGGTCAGCAATAATGGCAGACTAGCAAGTATATGGTGCAGCAATGAATAAAAACTAACACAATTTGTCCATATCAATTTTTCTGGTCGTTTTCTTTTAATTTCTACAGAATAAGTCTTATGCACAACAGAATATATTCACTATGATTTTGTGTTTCTTTTGTATTTCTTTTTCAGACAATATTCTTGGTGCATAGATCTTATAGCCAAAAGCCAATAGCCCCTAACAGTGACCTCATGCATATTCTTGCATAAGTTTTATTATCTCAAATGACATCACACAGTGTCCACAGGTTCATTTTAGGATTATTTTCATTAATAGCAATTCAAAAAAAAAAAAAAAAAAAAAAAAAAAAAAAAATTCAATAAAGCTCCGTGAAAAAGTTGTGGAAGCACAATAAAACCCTGTTCCAGTACCTAGATCAATCTAGGAGGATCGACCCATCTCAGAGGGGTTTCGCGCTAAATTGCTTTCAGCTTAAGTGGCTCTGATGTCTGAAATGCCTACTGAAGCTGTTAGGGGGTCATTAACTATAGTTTAGCAGCTTCAGTAGACTGCCAGACATTTAAGCCGCTTAAGCTGAAGGCAATGAGCGAGAAACCCCTGGGAAATGAGTTGATCCTATTAGATCAATCTACTAGTGGGTTTGGGAATGGGGTCTAAGACACATTATACCCAGTCTATGTACTAGATTATTAAATTTACCTTCTAGTACACAAACATATTAAAAAAACTTGACACTCAGAAATAACACAGTAGCTTGCACCGAGAGGCATCAGTTCCTGGAAAATTTGATTAACATCCAGATAACCATTACTCTTTTATTTAATTTTCTTCTAACTGAGCAAATATGATGGTGTTATCAACTTAGCTAATTCACGCTAGGGTTTAGTTAGGTTGTTTCTGAAGGAATCTAAATGACATTAGCACATCCCACTGTGATCAAAAGGATGGATAAAATCAGACGTGTTGGTGGTGTGCCTGGCTGTGATGGGGTTTGCAAAGTAGCAAACTATGAGGAAAGAGACAAAAAACAATCAGTTGAGAGATATAAGAGCCCATTCAGAACAGCGGACTAACAGATCCGTGGACCAAATATGGCAAACCACTTAACAGCTTGCTGCTCAATTCCCGATTAGACACTGAATAGATTCTCCACGGGGATTAGGCAACAAGCATTCAAGTGGGTTGGCCATACTTAGTCTGCACATCTGTTTGACGGCTGTTCTGATTGTGCCCTATGTGATGATGTTAAAACCACAAGGCAATTTTATCACTTCAAGAAAAGGAATCGATAATTTTAATCAGCTGCATAAGATTTTTACTTGAAATATCAAGCCAAACACAAGTTAAGAAAACTTTTGTTGCATGGTCACGTAACATTGACAATGAATACCTTTTGTTTTTAACAAATTGACAAAATTTCCGTGTGTAATATCAATGTAATATCATGGGCTAAGTTGGGAAGTTGTACAGTAAAAAGAAACACTGCCCCATTTCCATTCTTGGTTTGATCATCTAAAACGATTGTGTTTAATCATTTCTTACCTTATATTCTAAACTGTTCTGATATTCTTGAAACAATGAGTTCTCATTAATTTCATAATCAAGACCCTGCAAAATACAAAAATACAAATCTTAAGTTAAACTTAACTTCATTTGATATATCAGACACATGGCTTTATTTTGAAATTGTATATAGCTAAATGGAAAATTTTAAAGCAACAAAATTGACAGAATTCCAGTTGAAATCATTTGACATAATTTTGAGTCTAGACAGCTGAATTAAACTAACTTCTTAAAATATTTCACTGCAGGACTACTTCACAAAATGGAACTAATTAATTTATTTCTCCTGACAACCCAAACCCCGTATTTATTGCTACAGGAAAAGAAAGAAATAACAATCGTTGGTCTTTATGCTGTTTTATTTCCCTAGCTACTTAAGATAGCTTTTATTTATCATTCTGATTGATTTCTACATGTCAAATAAAAATAAAGGTCAAATGCACTTTTGTCAGAGTAATCCCTACATTTGCAAAAATAAATTTCAGAATTAGAATCATGTGATTATTAACAAAAAAAAATCCTTCAGGTACATTTGTCAAATTTTTGACCAAGTCTGTGTTGTGATCTTACCTCGTAAGTGGTCACCAGCCTCTTCATTGGTTTTAGAACCTCTGGTCTCTCCTCGGGAGCAAATTGTTCACTTTCCACAACATATTTTCTAAATCCCTGAAGAAATATAAAATATAAAAAAATTAATTTGTTATTGGACCCACCTGGTAATTAGTTATGTATTTCCATAATTCATCAATGTATAAAATTCCCCATTAGATGTGGATCTTTTTTCTCGTAGGTCTTACTTATCAAGAATGAGCTAGATCTACTAAAATACTAAATATTACATTTTCTAAAAGTAAAATCAAACAATCAAATACTGAAGTGCGGTGTAGATTAACTTACAGGCACTCTTTATCTGAAAAATAAATGTAACTGCAATAAATGTTTTAAGATGAAAACTCCCTTTTCTTTTGTTGACATGTTTAATGCTAACAGCAGCTCAGGGGAAAAAGCGGAAAGCAAACCTTTCTCCCCCTCTGCATTCCTAAACAAATCTGCAAGAGTCTTAGGAGAGGCTAATTTGACCCTTTAAAATTACAGATTGGTGGAAAATTCCCATGTCAGCCGATACTTAATGGCAATTACCAGTGCCTACAAATCCTTCCCACCAACCCCAGAACATACAATCATTGCTTCTTAATATCTAAGGTGAAAGAACCAAAATATTCATCTCAAAACTGACAATTTCAGTCTAACTTGTGACAAGATTCATTTTGTACCAAAAAGTGAATCACGTCTACACAAAGACTTGTAAAAATTTAATTTTGCTTTTAAATTCTGTTCTAAGTTATGTATCTAAAATGGTGCCTACCTATTTTAACAAACAATTTAAAATAAATATTGTACTTTTAGTTTTAAAAGTCATCCCAGAAACCGAAACCTTTAAGGCTCATTCCCAGTGAAACTGTCATTCTACAGAGATCAACCCAACTCAGCAGTGACTCTTGTTGACTGCAATCAGATTAACAGGCCTCCTGTTGGCATTAAGTAGAAAAGTACAAAAGCTGGTGATTATACAAGTACATTTATTGGAAACAAGAGGTGTGATAATCTGCAAAACTGATTGCATTCAGTGAGAGTCTCCACAGAGTTGGACTGATCTTCGAAGAACAATAGTTTCATTGGGAATGAACTCTTGGCCTACTAAGACCTATTAAGTTGCGGGATAATTTTAATTATTAAAAAGCAAAAAAACCAACTGAAAGTGCTTACATCAATTTAGTTGTTACGTTGACAGAATAATATATATTTTAGCTCTATAATATACATTCCTACGCATCCCTGATCTAATCAATTCCTTGATCAAATATAATTTATACAAAACAATAAAATAATTAATGCAAGTCCGAGACTGTTTATTTAAGAGTACTACTACAGATCTATCCTGCTTAAAGTTGACAAAAAAATTGATTTATTACCTTCAATCCAGTTTTTGACTTCAATTAAAAGATAGTCTTGTACTGCTAGCAAGAAAATAGCTCCTTACAGCACTCTTTCCATAAAAATTCCTGGGAACTGTGCTATTTTTGAATTAACTCTCAGCTATATCCTTAATAGCAAGATTCCCACACGCAACAAATACATAATAACAGTTACTTCAGTCAAGGGCTTTTCCCAGGATTTGGGGTACAGGCCGTCCAAAATTACCATCGGTAATTTCCTGCAAAATTTCCAGGTGTCCAATTATGCCTAAAACTGTCATATTTCAAAGAAATCCATAAGCCGTCCAGCCGTCTTTGAAAATATAGGCCGTCCAGTGATGCTGGCTGTCGTCCAAATGACAGCTGGAAGGTTCACTGGCAAAACCCTTGCTTCAGTCCAAAGGGAACCGAGTATAACCACTTCAAGATTACAACTTAATTAAATCCAAGCCCAAAATATTGAGAAGATTTTTTTTTAATACTGAAAAAATAATAAATGATTGAGCATTGACATTTGATGCCACTGGATTTCTTTTGGATATCTGCCTACCATGAATATTTGCTTCAATGAATTTTTTGTATGAGCTTCCAAGCACAAGTCTATAATTTCAGCAGAAAAAAAAATACAATGAAAGACATGTGAAGAATTTTCTCATTAATTTTCAAACTTAGCAGTGCAATATTTCAGTAATCAGTAATTTGATCCTTCTTTAGAAACATGACTGCAATTTAACTGATTGAATCATCCCATGAAAAAAAAATCAGTGCAAAATGAACATTTTCCATAACAAGAATTCACCATGATAATTAAGAATCTGGACAAATAAGGCATACTAAATTGTCCAGCAAACATGATGCACTTCGGGGTCATGATCAGCCACTGGTATCAATGGGATGGCAGATTAACTCTTTGCCTATACATTTTCAATGATTTTTTTGTTTTGTTTTGTTTTCTCTTATGCAGGCAAAAGATGAATTTTCTTAGGATCTTAATTCTGCAATGTATGCACTTTACCCTGCCTATATAACAGCTAAAGGGAACATGCTCAAATCCTTATTTCAAAAGACCCTCTCATACTATGCCTCTCTAGCCATAGACAGGATTACAGACAAAGCATATGGGTGACTGCAATCAAATGCTTATACTTCACAAATTGAAGACTGCAGTGTAGTTTACCAAGGCCAATCTAAACATGACTTTAATTCACTGTTGTCAAGTTTTAAATTCAAAATGAATAAGAACAAGTGGCCACTGGTAAAACTTCTCACGTACATGCCAACACTTCTTGCATAAGGAAAAAAGAACCATTTCAAGCCCAACTAAAGGAAGAGGTTCCAAATAGAAAAAAAAAACTTACCCTAAATTTCTTAGACAGCAACCGGGTTATACTACTCTGAGCAGAAGTGATTGTGTCACCCTGTCCGTCGCCTGGATACCAGTCTTGCATCGCTATGGTAACATATTTCTGCGGCTTATTACTGGTTTCCACCACTGTACCCACTTTATCCGGGGTTGTCAGCTGATCTGACAAATCAGATTCTTCTCGGATAAGATCTGGTCTCTTCTTGCCAGCAGGTGGTGGTGGTTTAGCTGTACGTGTCCGCTTTGAAACAAGAAGAGGGCTTTTCTGTTTGTCTTGTGGGCTATTTGGGTCATTTGATGTTTTTTCATCTTTTTCACTTTCTCTGTATTTCTTAAAATCCTAAATGATAAAAGAAAGTGGTATTTAAAATAGTTAACCTGATAATACATTTGATATAAATAATACATGTATACAGTAGTGACAGACGCTTGTTAAATGAATTTGTTCTATCAAACTGGCAGGGAAGGTTTCCTTCCAATTGAAAATATAATAATAATAAAATATAATAAAATAGGCTATAAACTTTCACATAAGTGTATTTTATGCTCTTTGGGCAACTGTAGTTACTGTAATAAATTACTGAAAAAACTTTTAAAGTAATTCTATGTTCAAAGACAATGCTTTGTTATAACACACAAAAAATATTACTTGTCAATGAATAAGTGAGTGGGTTCACAGCACAAATCACACTATTTACAGTAACTGTAGCTATAAAAAGGTCAACATTGAAAAATAAATATACAGGACTAAAAGTGTGGTGTTAAAAATGTGTGTGCTGTTATCATACCTTGAATTTTGAAGACAGTATTCTAGTGATACTGTTCTGTGTCAGAGATTCATTGTCGCAGGAGGCCTCATCCTCTGTGTTCTCGGGCGTACAGACTTGGTTAATCTCCCCGTTTTGGAGCCTATCTGATGGGCCTGCTACATCCTCTAAGTGAACTGGTGTTACAGTGAACTGAAAGATTAAAATGTAACATTACACATAAAATAAAGTTTTAAGTTAATATTATGAAGTGTGAGTTCTAATTACAATTACTATGAATTTTGAAAATATAACTTTAAACACATATTGTGGCTCTTTACTTTAAACAAATCAAAGTCAATAATATTGTAAAAAATTAATCAAAGTTGTACTAGCATCAGATCATCTCTCTCTCTCTCTCTCTCATAAACTACAGCATATTTGATATTTCAGTTTCTCCCCCATTATTCACTCCATCCTTCCTTCCTACCACTATCTTCCCATCATCAACCCACTTTAAAACCTTGCTCTTTAGTATTTTAAATTGCAATCAAAACTCAAGCTTGCAGACAAAATAAAACACACCAGGTGTGGTTCCATGGCTGTGCCTGTGGGCCCTGCCATCCTGATAGTGGATCTAAAGACTGGGAGAGGTGAAAGCAAGCCTTAGTGTGCCGAAGGATAAGACGGCCAATTAATCACTGAACCTTGCCACTTTGATTGTACCCAAAAGAATCATAAATAAAGCACTGTGGTACTGCTGCAACCTAAGATCGTAGGTCAATAGAACTTTAACTATTTACATGCTTGGCCAGTACTAGTTTTTGAAACCTTGCAAAGTTTTTTTTCTTTATTTGCAAGAAAAGATTTCCGTGAACTTTTTGGAAACTACGTGCACAGTCTGGCAAAATTTTCACAAAGGTATATCTCTTTTAAAAAAAGCATACCCATGCATGCTTAACTTTATAAATGTCTTATCAAAATAAATATCAAATCAAAGATCTCGTTATCAAGCTTTTGACACACACTAAACATTATTTTACACATCTCTTGACTCTATGTTAAGTGTACAGAGATAACCAAATTTGTAAGAATGTCACATCTTACACAATATGCTTTGTGCCTAAACAAGTCTGCAACAAATTAGCAAAAGCACTACACATTTCAACTGAAATTCAGGTAAACAGTGATAATCGAAAACTACACTAGGCCTGACTGTGCCACTTGATCTTTGTGCTCGATTTTGAATCACCAAGACATGAACTGCTTAAAGAGAAATTGTGCACTCATTATTAATATTAGAATAACAAAATTATCAATCTTTCTACCCAGATCTGAGTTTGAGTACTGTGCAACCTTACACTGTCACTGTCAGTAGCATTAGGATTCTCACTGACGGTTTCTTCCAAGTGGCTGTACTTGCCACAGATTGTCTCCAAATGGCAGTTTTCACAAACAGTAGCTTTCAAATATTGATACTTGTCACAATCCTCATACATCATCTCTAAACTGTTACCAAATATTTGATCAGAAAAATATTCTTCAGATTTCAAATCAAAATGTGATCAAAGAAGCACACATTAAATTGACAGCCTGCAAACTTCATCTTCAGCCATTTACTCTGCTGATTTTTTTCCAATTCCCCTGAACATTCTGTATCAATAATTCAACAGATCTTTGTACCAAAGCCCCATTACATGTTCATTTTCCCATGAGCTAAAACTTCCCCAATAACTCGATTTCTACCTGCTTTTGAGGCCTAATCATGAAATGGCTGTATCAGTGCTCTAAAAAGAGAGAATTTAAGAAAAACACTAAAATAGTCTTGATTCAAACGAAGACCTAAGTTTAGTAAATGATAAACACAAATACTTTAAAAAAAGAAACTTTATTCATTTCCAAATCAATACAAATAGGTGTTACTGATTGAAAAGTAAGGAACAATGATAAGTGCACTTTTATCCCTTCTAAGTCTCTACCTTTCCATCATAAAAAAATCAAGAGCAAATTTCATCCTCAGCAGGTAATTTCTCAATCTTCCCTGCCTTGAGAAATTATTTCGTCATATTATCATGCGAATCAAAGTCCCCTGTTAGCCATCCTGACGTGCCAGGAGTATTCAATGATGTCCAAGCATCATTAATTGTTTCTGATGACCATGGTCCAATTCATTGGGCAGAGCTACAACAAGGTAATTCATTGATTACCAGAAATGAAATAGGTAATTACGTAATTTAAGTTAATTAGTAATGGGCATGTGTGTGTACATGTGTGTGTGTGTGTGTGTGTATGTGTGTGTATGTGTGCATGTGTGCGTGCATGTGTGTGTATGTATGCGTGTGCATGTGTGTGTGTGTGTGTGAGAGAGAGAGAGAGAGAGAGAGTTAATCTCAATCAGTAATTATGTAGTATTACATGTTTAATTATCACTTCTAATAACATTTGTGTACCACTATTAACCCAGGTGGAATAAAAATAACATGTATGCAGTATTTTAAAGCAGTGACAGTATTTGTAACAGTTATGACTTCTTGAGTTAGAGAATTGATTGCTACAGTTGAGAATCAATGCACTTAATGCAGTAAAGGGGACCACATTTCTCAACATCTGAAGATAACATAATTTGGAGCTTGGATCCATTAAATACACATTATTGTATAATGAATTCAAGCTTGGAAATATTGAATTTTCAAATGAGAAATGATAAATTATCAGAAAATTTACTATCTATCTAATGTTAAGTGTCCTAATGCTAGCAAAAGTAAGGGGAATAAATAGAAGATTCTTCATACTACATAACTTTGAATTACAGATTTGTTTCCAAATTTTCTAAAAATTTCAGAACTTGATCTTCGATTTTAATCCTTACTTGAGGAACACCTGAGAATGATTTCATTGAACAATTGATATGGCAAAAATGTGAAAGAAGTCTTCTATGCCTACCGGTATTTAAATTTCAGACAATTCACATTTAACGTTAAAGCAACAAATTAAATGACATTTTACCTGGCAGTGTGTGCCAATAAGATAAACTGGCAACACAGAAACTTAATAAGTCTCTTAATCAAACAACTCAGGTATGAATGTGCAAACAATGAGACCACTTAAAGCAACCAGTGGCCCTTTTAACTCTGTCACTTTAGAAATTATGACTTTTGTATGAATTTCAAGGTTCACTTTATAACTTGATGGAAAACCTCCACTAACAGTTTAAAGTTTACTCAAAAGACTTTGTCCTTTTCTCCCAGAGCTTTCTGTTAAATATTATTTCACTTTAATTGATTTCAACTAATACACTGAATGTCATTTATAATGTAGAAAATCTTCATTTCTTGTATTTTTTATATAAATTTTGAAATTCTGTGCTGAAGTGTGTGTGTGGAGGGGTGAGACAGCTGGAAAATTTTTGCAATTTTGAAGTCAAACAATGTTAGTAATTGACAAGAGATGACAACTGAGGCACGAACATATCATGCCATAATTGGTTTTGTTTATCTCTAAACAGCTAGTAAAATAATGACATAATAACAACAAGTTATTGTGAATATATAGGAGAGTAATACTAATATTAATCACCTTAAACCTTGAAATAAAATAACTTAATGCTACATGACTCATTCCATGCTTTTCTTTTCATAGCCAAAACAGCTGAAGTATTACAGAAGTCAATGGGGAACATTTTTATAATAGCATAATCTAATATTTTAAAAGAAATATGGCTGTAAATGGATGTGTATGCATTGCCAGAATGACCATTAAACAAAGAAGTCCTTAAGTACCCATGCTGACAGCCACCGTAAGTGTATAATTGAAAATCAAGTACTATAGTGGCTAAAAACAATTTATTAATACATAATAAACACAATTTCAGACATGAGCCAAAGTTTAAAAAAACCCTCTGAACATACATTTTATTGCAGATCTTGATGAATCTCAGGAACCATCAGAATTGAATTAAAAAACGCGAAATTCCACGTTTCCGCTGAAAAAGCTCATGTCTGCAATTTATAAAAACAATTTATTATATTGAATTTCATTTAACAAGCCCTGCGTCAACACACACCTGTGGCCTTGTAACCGTATCTTAAAACGGCAAGCTATTTTGTGATATGCCAATATTAGACCTCTACTGCCTATGCCTGAGTGCAAAGAATTGCTTCTGCATGGTGCATGAGTATTTATATATTCACCAAATGGAGATACCTGCGGCAGAATAATTCTGTAACTCTGTTCACATAGGATTTATCAAGTCAGCTCTGAGTTAGACAATCTGATCCAATTCTAAAACTAAAAATTTTTCACAGAAAACCTTGATTCCCTTGCATGCAGTTAATCCACTAGGTTCACAGCATTTGCTCAGCATGGATCAAGAAGGTTGTTTGAATTAGTCGAGACTGGTTACTCAATCAACATAGTGTAATCTGATAAACTGTTGATCACCTGAATAACTCAGAACTAATACAGATCAATAGAGGCATATATCTCTTCACCAGTTCAGAACCCATGCAGACATATCTCAAGTGAACAGGACCATGTGCACCCACAATAACCTAGAGCTCCAACAGACATTTCAACCATTCATGCAAACACCTTGCAGTGTCAGATATTGAGTAATACCTAAATATGCAGCTTCCACAAACAGTCCTCTCATAATTGACATGTCTTTGATTTCAAATAATACATAAGCCTCACAAGCTTATCCAATAGTCGACAAAAATTTCATTTTCCTGAAAATTACAGCCCTTTATCACCGAGGGATATTGAGTTTCCAATTGTAGCATAATAATGAAATTTAGATCTATAAATTGGGACTCTCAATGAGTAATCTTTGCTGTCATGCATAAACTTCACCAGTGGCTAAAAAATTATGAACTTACTGCTTTATGCATTAGCCCAAATACAATTTAATTTTGGAGATGAAACTCTTCATAAAATATCCCCTTTTCTTAACTACTACCAAAAAAAAAAATACAATTTTTACTTATCTATTCACAATTTTGAAAACAGCCTGAGGAAGTATGTAAATAAGTGTTAAGAAATAATGAAAGGAAATTATTCTATTTCACTAAATTTGGGTCTTTCTTGGAAAACTTTTGATTTTTATTCTGCCTTAATTATTGCCATTCAAATACTGTAACAGTGAATTCGAAACAAATACAAAATTGAATTCCTTTGGGGCATTAAAGCCCACACACTACATATCATTTAACTAA